GTGGGGCCACAGCAATGGGATTCTGCAGTGGGGAGGGCGATTGGGCTCCACTCTGAATACAGAGAGGGCAAGTGGGATTTACAGCCAAGGAGCAGGGTGGAGAGGGGGATTTTGGGAACACTGGCCTTCCAGAATTCTTGCAGAGGGCAAGACACCATGAGGGGAGGAGAGGGAAGGGGAGCCTGATCCTCAGGAAAAGGTGTCTGCTGAACTGACTGAGCAGGTTCTTGGCTAAAACCAGAGACACAGAAGTGTATCATGGCCCTCAGAGAAGGCCCAGGACCTGACTGCAGGTCAGCCCGGCAGAGGATTTTTATCCTTGGCTTGTGTGGGTTTCAGGCCCCACCCAGTACAGAGTCATCACCTCCATCTCACCCATGACTCACATCTGTCAGTGTCCCTCTTGGAGCACACTCAGTTCACCGTGGCTTCCTGTGAACTCTGAGGGGCCCTGAATATGTTTGTCACCTCTGTCCTGGCACATCTAACAACTGAAATTCTAAATAACCCTATAAAAAGTAGAGTGAATCATGTTGGGTGTGGTGGTACATGCCTGTAATCCTAGCACTCTGGGAGACTGAGGCAGGGGGATTTTGAATTCAAGTCCAGCCTGGGAAACTTAGTGACTTAGCAAGACCCTGTCTCAAAATGCACAATTTTAAAAAGGGGTGGGGAGGTAGTTCAGTGCAAACCCCAGTACCAAGAGAGACAGAGAGCAGGGAGCGGGAGCTGAGTCCCCATGTTGTCCCCTTCAGCAGATTATCCCTGAGGTTTGTCTCTGGGCAGCAAAGGCCAGGGCTGAGGGACATTCCCTGCAGACCAAGGCCAGCATGGGGGAGGACATGTGGAGGGCACATGTGTGTGTACCTGGGGGGGCTTGTGCGTGTGATGCACATATGTGCACAGGGTCCCACAGCAGGGACCTCTCGCTGGCCACTCTCCCACCATCCACACCCCTGGGGTCCACACTTTGTCCAGGCAGCCCCTTCCCTTCCGGATACACACCCGTCTCTACCACCCCAGGAGTCTGGGGCAGCCTCCACCTTCCCTCTGCTACTGGGCCTCAGCATCGGACGAGCCACTGCAGCCACACAGCCCCAAAATAGAACCTTATCTCCCCTCCCGCCTCTGCAGCACCTCAGCCCTTCCCAACCCCAGGACCCTGGGCTTCCTCTGCCTCTCCCCATCCCCGGATTCCACAGCCCGAGCACCCTCAGTGTCCCGGGCTTCTCAACAGAAACACCCACCCCTGCCTGCTACACGGGAGTGTGGGTGTCAGGAATCCATCACAGCTGCCCCTGAAGAAAGAGAAGCCTGAGAGACTGAGAGCAACCCAAGAACTAAGCACACAGCGAAGCTCGGGTGCAGGGGTCTGGCAAGCAGCCCTGGAAAGTGGTGGATTCCAGTGCACCATAGTCTTACGATTCTGCTTTAGACTTCTTGCCTGTTTTTCTCCACCCCTCACCTACAGGTGAGAAACAAAGGCTACAGGTAGCTGGAGTTGGACAAATCTCTTTCCCTAAGCCAGTGAGGCTCTGTTAAGTTTTCCTTGTGGTAGTTTTGTTTGTTGTTTGTTTTAGACAAGGTCTTGACAGAGTACTGGGCTTACAGGTGTGCACCACCAGGCTGGGCTTGTTACCCATGTTTATAGCACACAACTCACAACAGCTAAATCTTGGAAGCAGGCTGTATGTCCATCAACAGATGAGTGGATAAAGAAACTGTGGTATTTACACACAATGAAGTACTACTCTGACATAAAGAAGGATAAACTTGAGTCATCTGTAGGAATCTTGAGACCATAATTTTAAGTGAAATAAATCAGACATGCAAGCACAAATATCAAATGATTTCTTTTAGATGGGAAATTCAAAGTATAAAAAACGTAAAGGCTAAAAGAAAAGACAGATAATAGCAAACAGGGAGACAGATCTTTTGCCAATAGGAAGGGGACCAAGAGATGGAGGGAGGTAGGATGAGGTGGGGGGGATGAAGAAAGAATCAAGATGTGTGATGTCCGTGTACCCAACTCCCCACAAATAATGTGATCATTACGTAGTGCACACACAGACTAAGAAAAAATAAAAGTTGCCAAAAGTTTTTTAAAAACAGGATGCTCTGGTACCTTTCAAAATGGCCACCTTAAAGCATGTCCCAGCGCTGGAAATATGGAGGATTTCTTTTTCACTGTATCAACCTGGTGCGGCTCTGGGGTTAAAACTCAGGGAAGTGTGGGGTCCTCCTAAGACAGGGATTCCTTGGAGTTTTGGACTCTCTAGATCGTTTGTGCTGAGCCTTCAGCAATTTTCAATTGCAGTTCAATTCTCCTGCCCTAGTAGCAGCTCCCACTGTGGGCTTCTGCTCTGTGCACTGTGGTTTCCTGTCCCTTGGGTGGGGACAGCTGTTTGCCCTGAGATCTCAATTCTTTAACAGACCTAAGAAAGGCTGCTGATTTTTAGTTCATTCAGCTTTTTTCTCATCGTGAGGATGGAGTGGTGTGTTACTTTCTCACTGCTGGGATAAAATGCCTGACACAAACAACTGAAGGGAGGAGAGACGTATTTTGGTTTGTGGTTTCAGAGTTGCTATCTATGGCCAGCTGGCTCTTTTGTTGTTTTCCCTACAGTGAGGCAGGAGCAAGCAGCAGAGCAAAGTGCTCGCTGCATGGGGACAGAGCAAGGGGCAGGGACATGCTGGACCCTTCCAAGGTCTGTCCCCAGTGACCTCCTTCCTTCTCGCCCCCTCCTGCAGTGTCTTGCACCTCTCAATGGCCCATTAGGTTATGAACTCATCCATGGACTAATGTTCGTGAGGTCAGCACACTCGCCATGTGGTCACCTCCGGACACTGCTGCACTGGGAGCCATGCCTTCCACACACAAGCCTTTGGGAGATTTTTTACATCCAAACCATGGCAAGTGGTGACCTCCCTTTTCTTTTTTTTTTTTTTTTTCCAGTACTGGGGGTTGAACCCAGGGCCTTGCACATGGTAGGCAAGCTCTCTACCTCTGAGCTACAGCCCAAGATTGTTTTATTTTTTGAGACAGAGTCTCATTAAATTGCCCAGGCTGGGCTCAAACTTGTGCTTTTTCTGCCTCAGTCTCCCAAGTAGCTGGGATTACAGGCATGTGCCACCATGTCCAGGTCTCAAGCCCTCTCTGTTTTTTAAGGTTTTTTTTTTTAATGTTCATACATGTTGGCTCTACATAATGCTTACATTCATTGTGGGAATGGTACATGTATAAAACACATTTTAATCCAGCCGACTATGGACTAAAACCTCTACACTGTGAGCTAAAATAAATCTTTCCCCCTTTAAGTTTGGGTGTCTGTTATTTTGTCTCAGCAACAAGAAAAGTAACCAAGACAAAACGTTAGAATTTACTGCTCCTCTCCAACTACACCCCTGTACCTGTTAATCACTCAGGGAGACAACCCTGAAGGCAGTAAGACAGCAGGGACACATCAAATACAAGAGATTTTTAAAAAATGATCAGGTTTCTCATCAGTAACCTTGGAAGCCAGAGGCACTGAGTATCTATACTCTAAGAGCTGAAGGAAAAACAACAGTCAACCAAAAATCCTATTTCCTGCAATACTGCCATTGAAAATGGGGGAGAACTAAAGACATTCCCAGATAAAATTTGATGGCGTTCCATTACCACCACACCTACCCTTCAAGAAATGCTAAGGGGAGTCCTGCAGACTGAAATAAAAGGATGTTGGGCAGTAGCTCAAAACCAAATAAAGATCTCTAGTAAAGATAAACGGGCAATTCTAACAGCTAGTATCTCTGCAACTTTGGTTTGTAACCACCAAGTGGGATTTGTTCCTGAAATGCAAGAATAATCTGACATAACAACCGTTTTTTTTGTTTTTTTGGTTTTTTTTGAGACAGGCTCTTGCTATGCAGTTCAGGCTGGCCTTGAACTCTCTATGTAGCCCAGGCTGGCCGCAAACTCCCGTCAATCCTCCTGACTCAGCCTCCCGAGTGCTGGGATTACAGGCGTGTGCCACCATGCCCAGTTGGAACAAAAAATTTTAAAACTATAACAGACCACCTGAATAAAAGGGAAAAAATGATCATCTTAACTTAGGCATAATAAAGTATTCGACAAAATTCAACATATTTTCATGATTAAAAGAAAAAACTAGGAGTAGAAGGCACTACAATAAAGTCTATGTATGAAGAACTCACAGCAAATATCAGTCAGTGGTGAAAAACTGAAAGCTTTCCTTTAAGATCAGGAACAAGACAAAGATGCCACATCCATTCAACATAGCCGTGTAAGTTCCAGCCAGAGCAATGAGGCAGAAAAAGCAATAAAAGGTCCTATCCACAGTGGAAGGGAGGAAGTAAAGCATGTGTTCGCACAGCTCAACGTTACTAGCAGAGTCCTGCTGCCTTCGGGTGCAGTCCAGCTTTTGCTCATTGGCTGGGTGACCTCTCTTTGCCTGTTTCCTCATCTGTAAAACGGAAGAATAACAGTTCTATGAACTAGTGAGGGAAACGAGTACGAATACCGGGGACACCGCAGATGGGGGCGTGGCGTGGAGCCCGCGCGAGGGCCGGCTGGACAAGAGCGCCCCGCTCGGCTGCCCTCGCGAGAGCAACGCCAGGCGCCTCTCCTTCAGACGCAATCCTCTCGTGCTACTGTCACTCACTCTCAGCTGGGCGGCTCTTCGGGGACAACCGAGACCCGCACGGAGACCTCCTTGTCAGGGACTGACCTTCCAAGCACCTAGAAACAGTCCCTCTAGCACCCAGGAACGCCGGAGCTATAAACTGCACTCCGTGACGTTTTCGCAAGCGCAAGGTACCACCACGCCGGCCCCGCCCCGCGTTGCCCAGGGAACCAGGGGCGCAGCTCCGCGACCAGGGGCGGGCCACGCGGAGATCGGCGGGATGTGGCGCGCAGTGATGGACGGAGGGGAGCGGGCGACGATTGGTGGAATGAGACGAGGGTGGGGCGGGTGCGCGGGGATTGGCGGGAGGCAGCGATGGGCGGGCTGAGCGCGCGGGGATTGGTGGGATGCGGCGCGCGACGCGGTAAGGTCCTGGCGAGCGGGTTGGTGTGGGGCTGCTGGCCGGGCTGGGGGATCCCGGGCCGTGGGCTCCGGTCTCGGGACGAGTTCCGCACAGCCACGCGGACCCGAGGTTGGGGGGCTGGCCGTGGGTGAACCCCGCACCCGCCGAGTGCTGCGGGGCACCTGTGGGCCGCTGCCAGCACCGTGCGAGTTTGGCCGAGTTAATTCGCATTCGCTCTATGGGCGAAGGTAGAGCCCGCGTCCTCGACCAGGGCTGCCCAGTAGAGACAGGACACGAGCAAGCTGCGAGAGTTAGGGCTTTCTCATAACTGGACCAGGAAAAGTAAAAAGGAGGGGTTTCGATTATATGAAGAACATTGAGATAGTCTGTACTTTTCTTCAAATCCTGCATCCTGCAGGTGCTGGTCATTGGGCTGCGTATGGGACGGTGCGGTTCTAGGTAGTAACTCCAAGAATAAAGCAAAATCTCGGCCCTGAAACTTAGATCTAGTTGAAGAAGCAGACAAATTTAAAATACACAGCTCGTTAGAAGGCGAATGCTGTAAATATCAGTATCAGTTGGAGAAGCACAGGCACCGGGGCAAGTTTCAGCTGTAAAGAAGGTGGGGCGGAGGTGAGTTTTGAGTAGAGGGAAGGGGAAGAGCCAGAGAGCTGTGGATCGGTGTGGGAGAGGAGCCAGTGGGAGTGCAAAGGCCACAGCTGTGGGAGGCACAGTGTGATCCTGGGCAGGTCAGGAATTCCATTTGGGGTGGGCTAAATTTGAGACCTTGGTTCTTGTCCAGGTGGAAATATGAAGCAGGCAGTGGACACCTGAGTTTGGGGTTTGGAGAGCGCTCTAAGTGGGAGAAACACTCCCAGCTTCCCTCCAATACCTGTCTGGGTTAGGGTTCCGGGGCTCCAGGGTGATTCATCTGTTTCCAGGCACAGTAGTTCTGGGGGCCGCTGTGCCTGTCATTCTTCTTACCTGCAGCCCTTTGGGTGTGATGTGGCAGGTTGGCAAGACACCAGAAGAGCCGCTGCCTTAGCTTTGAACAGGGGTGGCAGGAATGCATTTGTGTCTTTCCAGTGATCCTGCTTGGCCTGTACACAGCCGTCTGGACAGCAGGCTAAGAGTACAGCCATGTTTTCTGAGCAGGCTGCCCAGCGGGCCCATACTCTGCTGTCCCCACCATCAGCCAGCAATGCCACTTTTGCCCGGGTGCCTGTGGCAACTTACACCAACTCCTCACAGCCCTTCCGCCTGGGGGAGCGCAGCTTCAACCGGCAGTACGCCCACATCTATGCCACTCGCCTCATCCAGATGAGACCCTTCCTGGTGAGCCAGGCCCGGCAGCACTGGGGTGAGTAGGTTTGGGGCCTGCTTCCCCCATCAGCCCAGAACTCAGAACTTTTCTCTGATTTACCCCATTTCCCAGCTGTCTTGGGAAAATTAGCCTCTTCATCCCCCAATTTCTTCATAAGGTAATAATGAGAATTTAAGTAACCTGTGGGTTTAAAGTTAGGTTCAGTTCAGAGGCTGGTCTGAGTTCTAACAGTGACAGTGAATATTTCATTCGTGGAGGGAAATGCCTTTGTCTTTGGTACAAATCATGCAGCCCTTTGCCCACACTGTCCCTAGAGAGCCCCTCAGCATGGCAGGTTTAGCACCAGAAGCCCAGGTTGCAGTCTTAGGGGCCCCTCTGTTATTGATGTCTGCTTTTCCTCCTGGCCTCCTGTGTTTGGTGGCTGTGAATCTTCTGTCCTTTGGAAGCTCACTCTTGTTCCCCCACCCCCTTCCTAAGTGGCCTCTTCCCCCTATTTCTTTTCTTTTTTTTTTTTGTATCAGGGATTGAACTCAGGTCTTTGCACTTGCGCAGCAGGCGGCGAAACCACTGAGCTGGATCCCCCTAAATATGTGAAGCACACATGCTCATGTTGACGTGAGAAGTTTTTTTTGTTTTTTTTGTTTTTGGTGCCGGGGATCAAACTCAGGACCTTGAGCTTGCGAGGCAGGTGTTGGAACCACTGAGCTAAATCCCCAGTCCAAACTCTTAGGGCCCTTTTGCTTTTTTTGGTACCAGGGATCAAACTCGAGTCTGTGCGCTTGCAAGGCAGGTGGCAGAACCACTGAGCTAAATTCCCAGCCCATTCTTCCCCCTATTTCTTCCTTGATGATGGCTCCTGCACCCAGATTGCTTTGGATGGTAAAGCAGGACCACCACCACCACCACCTGAATTATCTCATTCTTATGGTATATATAAGAGTGGCTTTCCATGTAGCTTTCAAATTCATTTTGTTACATTTTTAAACTGAGGCTTTTGCAGGAGAGACCCTGCCTTACTCATTGTCCCCAGCACCAGGCCTGCATGCAGATGGGAACCTCTGGAACTTGGGAAGGCACTAGCCCTCAGGCCACCCCACCCTGAGCCACCACTGGGTCAAATGTTTCTTGGTAGCAGAACATTGAGCCCAGTAATCTCCTAGCCAGACTGACCAAATCATTCAGGGTATTTTCCATTTTCTTTACCTCAGGCAGAAGTGCTGTTTACCTCTCCCCTGTGGCATAGCAAGGGGCTCCTTCCTCCAGCAGCTCCCAGGAGCCTTTTCTTCACTTTCCTTTAAGCCTTTAGGGGCACCCTCTGAGTATTTAACTGCTGCTTGGGTCCAGGGTCAGTCTTCCCCCTTTTTTTTTTTAATGTTTTTTTGAGACAAGGACTCACTAGTTCAGGCTGGCCTCACCTGTGGCGATCATCCTGCCTCAGCCTCCTCAGTGCTGGGATTATAAGTGTGTTCCACAATACCTGGCCAGTCCCACCTTTTAAAGGCCTTATGGAAGCCAGATTCTCTTCCAGTGACCACAGTTGCTGATAAAGCTCCTGAGGGAGCAAGGGTGGGGCTTTGTGTCTGGTTTCCCTGTTTGAACCCACGCTTTGCCCCATGCTCAAGGGCCAGGCATTTGGATCCCTTAGCTTCTTTCCTCAGCAGGGTGGTGATATCTAACCTTGGCATGTTGTCAAGTTCAGCTGAGTTGTATGGAGTTTAGAGGTAAGAGCATGTGTTAGTCCATTTTCTGTTTCAGTAGCAAAGTGCCTGAGGCTGGGTACTTCGTGCATGCAGAACAGAAGTTTATGTAGCTCATATTTCTGGAAGTTCAAGGGCATGGCACTGGCTTCATGGGAGATGACATGAATGTGTGCAAGAGGGAGAGATCATGTCACCAAACAGGAAGGCAGAGAGTAGTACCGGGGCTGGGCTCACTGTCATAGCAGAGCTGCCTTAACCTCTTCCAAGGCAGCTCCCCCGGGAAGCACAGGACCTTGCACAAGGTCCCCCACCTCTCAGGTCACCACACATGAGCCTTGGGGGGACAGACTACATCAGGGCACAACAGAGCCACAGGTGGGAGTCTGTTTTCAGAGGATGAAGCATTTGGTGGGGGTGTGGGCTGGAGCGGAAGAATTCAGATCCTTAAGGAAGGTGATTTTGGTGGGGGAGAGTGGTGGCACAGCTCTGTCCCCAGATGGCTGCTATCACTTGGGCGGAAGTGAAGTAGGGCTCTATATTCTTTTCCTCCACTCCTGTAACAAAGAGCTGCAAACTGGGTGATGCGGTTCAACCAACAACACGTTCCCTCAGTTCTGGGGGCCAGAATTCCGCAATCAGTGTCAGCAAGGCCAGTTCCCCAAGGCTGTGGGGAGGATCCTTCCTGCCTCTTCCACTGCTGGTGGTTCCACACACTCCCGGTTGTCACCACAGTGTGCCACTCTGCCCCGTTTTCATGCGCCCTCGCCTCTGTATGCCTCTCCCTACGAAGACGCTTGGCTTCCAGGGCCCACCCCGCCCAGAGCACCTGTACCCCGTGGGGGCCCTGCTCACTTGATGTTCTCCCACCCATGAGGCCCTGTAAGTGGCTCATGGTGCGGGGCTGGGCGAGGTCTCTGTGGGTCTCACCAGCGTGGGCCGTGTGGTCTCTGAGTCTGTGCCCCTCGTGCCCAGGTAGTGGCGTTGGGGTTAAGAAGCTGTGTGAGCTGCAGCCCGGGGAGAAGTGCTGTGTGGTGGGCACACTGTTTAAGGCCATGCCACTCCAGCCCTCCATCCTTCGTGAGATCAGCGAGGAGGTGAGACCCCTGGACCCGGGGCTGGGGTTGGCCTCTGCCTGTGGAGTCAGGGAGCAGGTCCAGAGGGACAGCAGCTGCGGGGCCATCTCCTGACATAGGAGGCTGGTGGCCTTGGCCGAGGCCACCTCCCAGCTCTGCCTTCTAGCACAACCTGCTGCCCCAGCCACCACGGAGCAAATACATCCACCCAGATGATGAGCTTGTCCTGGAAGACGAACTGCAGCGCATCAAGCTGAAAGGCACCATCGACATCTCAAAGCTGGTCACAGGTGGGGGCAGCCCAGTGGGAGTTGGTGGGTATGGGGGGAGTGTGTATGTGGGGGTGTTGGGGGAGAAGCTGAGCAAGCGGTGGTGGAGAGCCCCAAGGAGGTGGTAAGGGCTGGGCTGTGTGTGAGGCTGGCACACTCAAGTTTGTGGTGATGCAGGTGTGGGGCCAGGCAGGATGGGTAAGATGTGTCCCCCATGCTCACCCAGAGGCAGTGACCTCAAGAAGTGGGCCTCAGTGTGAGTCCTCACTTGACTGTACTGGTGTGGCCCAGGAGACTGAGAGGAGGTGGGAGCACCTGGCCACCCCAGGGCCTGACCCTGCCGCCCCCCAGGCACGGTGCTGGCCGTGTTCGGCTCTGTGAGAGACGACGGGAAGTTCCTGGTGGAGGACCACTGCTTTGCCGACCTCGCTCCACAGAAGCCTGCTGCCCCCCTTGACACAGACAGGTGAGGCGCCCGCTCGGGCCCTAGGGGCTCAGGATCTGGGGCTGGTGTGGGGGTCTCGGTTAGGGGTTGGGGGATGCCTTCCTCTCGGTACTTCTCAGGAACTGCCACCACTTTGCAGGTTTGTGCTGCTGGTGTCTGGGCTGGGCCTGGGCGGAGGCGGTGGCGAGAGCCTGCTGGGCACCCAGCTGCTGGTGGACGTGGTGACCGGGCAGCTCGGGGACGAAGGCGAGCAGTGCAGCGCCGCCCGTGTCTCCCGCGTCATCCTAGCCGGCAACCTCCTCAGCCCCAGCACCCAGAGCAGGGACTCCATCAACAAGGTAGCACCCACCACGCCGCCCGTGCACCTGTGCCTGCGGCTTGGGAGGACTCCACGTCTCCCAGCGGGCAGGCTTTGCTCCCCTCCTCGGAGCTGGGGACCCTGATAGCCTTTGGTCTTTGACCCGCAGGCTAAGTACCTCACCAAGAAAACCCAGGCAGCCAGTGTGGAGGCCGTCAGGATGCTGGACGAGATCCTCCTGCAGCTGAGCGTGAGTGGCCCGGGAGCTGGTGGGGTGATGCAGACGCCTCGGCTGCAGAGCTGCCCTGTGAGCACTCCTTGCCCTGTGCTCTCCAGGCCTCAGTGCCCGTGGACGTGATGCCAGGCGAATTTGACCCGACCAACTACACGCTCCCCCAGCAGCCCCTGCACCCGTGTATGCTCCCCCTAGCCACCGCCTACTCTACTCTGCAGCTGGTCACCAACCCCTATCAAGCCACTATCGACGGTGTCAGGTAGCTGGTGTGGGGTGGGAGATGGGTAGGGCGGCCCCCACAGGGTCCCAGTGAGTCCAGGCTAGCCGCTGTCGGGGAGCAGCAGTGACCGCCTCAGGCCATGGGTCAGCAAAGCCTTGCCTTGCAGGTTCCTGGGGACATCAGGACAGAATGTGAGTGACATTTTCCGGTACAGCAGCATGGAAGACCATCTAGAGATCCTAGAGTGGACCCTGCGAGTCCGTCACATCAGCCCCACAGCCCCTGACACCCTAGGTAAGGCCCAGTTGCACTGGTGGACGAGGGGCGGGAAGAAGTCTGGGGAGAAGCTATTCTGAAGCCACCCTGGAGTCTTAACTCCATCTGCGGCCAAGGACTGCTTGGGCCAAAGACCATGGAGTGAGCTGGAAACTGGGGCTGGGAATGCACACCCCGTGGCTGTCTCATGGGGCAGCCTGAGGCTTTGTCACACCGGGGGTGCTGGTGCTAGCAGCAGTAGGAAAGGGCTGGGAGCCGCCTGCATCCATGAGTGCCCCATGGCAAGACCTGCTCAGCACAGCCCCTTCTCCAGGCTGCTACCCCTTCTACAAGACTGACCCGTTCATCTGTCTTGAGTGCCCGCATGTCTACTTTTGTGGCAACACCCCTAGCTTTGGCTCCAAGATCATCCGGGGTAAGTTTGGTTTGGGGGTCCGAGGCCTGAGTGATCAGGGACAAGGCCCCCATGGGGTGTACGGCCTGGGGTCTGGCTGGTGGCTGTTGTTACCAGGGGGACCAAGGTGTCTCTGAGCCCCATGCCTCTGTTGTCCATCCCACTGTATCTCCTGCTCACTCCTGGGAGCTTGGCTGTGAGGCTGTGCAGAACCTAAGCTGGATCCCTGTGGCTGCATCCTAGGCTCCGAGGACCAGATGGTGCTGCTGGTGGCCGTTCCTGACTTCAGCACCACGCAGACCGCCTGCCTGGTGAACCTGCGCAGCCTGGCCTGCCAACCTATCAGCTTCACAGGCTTCGGGGCGGAGGACGATGAGCTGGAAGGGCTGGGGCTGGGCCCCTGACACTACCCGAAGTGTAAGCCTTGTAAATAAACCGTAAGGTTTGACTCCTGGACCTGTGTGGAAGGTGACTGTAGCAGGAGAGCCCAGGGGCTTGAGCCTCCCTTCCCCAAGCAATCAGAACAGTGCAGTCAGTGTCATGAGCAGGTTTTATTGATGTGACCTTGCCTCCCGCACCTGTCCCTTCCCAAGGCAGAGCAGGAGCCTCCACACAGACTCTGGCCTGCACTCTGTGCCCTGTGGGAGGCACCCGGGGCTCTGGTGCTGATGGTTTGTCTAGGGGTGCAGGCTTGTGGCTGCTGGTGTAGCCTGAGCTGGCCCAGGGCATCCCAGTCTCGGTCTCAGAAGTCCCCAAAGTTCACCGTGTAGGTCTCTACTGTTGTGAAGGGGAATTCGAGGCCAGTGATTTCCTCTTCTTCCTCTTCCTCCACTTCCTCCTTGGGCTCCAGCTCAATCCCAAACTCGGTCCCCAACTCTGTCACCACCTCTGTGTAGGTCTCGGTCTCAGATTCCTCCCAGCCCTCTGTGGTATGGGGTAGTAGGTCCTGGGGTCCTTGTGTGAGGCCCAGGGTGAGGACAGGGGTAGCGGTGGGGGCGGAGGTGGGGACAGGGGTGGGGGTGGGAGCTGTGGTGGGGCCCACGGTGGTGGTGTTAAGGCGCCGCAGCCGCATCTGTTCCCGCAGCCGCAGACGCTGCTGCAGGCGCCACTGTTGCAGGCGCCGCTGCTGGGGGGTCATGGGGCGTGAGGGGTCCACACGAAGGATGGGCCGATTCCCGTTCATGGCCATGATCTCCCGGATGCGCTTCCAGTTGGAGCGGGCCAGGATGAAGTTGCACTGGGTGGCCCCGATGTCATAGTCCACGTTGCAGGTCTTGGCGCTGGGGGTGTAGCCATCTGCGTGGGCCGTCACGCGGTACTCACCTGGGTTCAGGATGCGCCAGTAATCGCCACCACTTGCTGCCAGGGAGATGGGGAGACCAGTGGCTGTCACAGGGCCACAGCCCTCCGGCTCTACCTGCTCTCTCTGAGGCCTGACCTTACATCATGGGTCTCCCCCAAATCCAGCTTTCCTCTGAGTCCCTTGGGCCCTGTCCACCCTCTCTGGCTGGTGCAGGGCTTGGGGGCCTGTGGGCACCTTGCCATAGCCACACGGAGTTGGCCTGTGGTGGGACATGTCCCCCAAGACGGGCCAGGTACCTGTCTTCACGCCGTGGTTGATGCCACTCACGGAGATGGTAGCGTTGGCAATGGGGATGCCTTGCTCGTCTGTCACCACACCCTTGATGCCACGATGCACCTGCAGGAGTGACACGAAGCTGGAGGCCATACGGAGACCCCTTGTCCCAGCTCTGTCCCCAGCTCCGCCCTCCCGTGTGCAGCCCGGTACCCACCTGCTCCATGAAGGTGAGCAGTGCCTCCTTGTTGTTCTCCCACTCTCGGGGCAGCTCGCTCTCGTGTGGGAACTTGTCACAGCCCAGGTAGACGGAGAGCTCCAGGCAGTTGGTGTGCAGGTAGCTGAAGTCATTGATGGCTGGGCAGACACACAGAGAACTGCAGTCACCCCCTCCCCAGGCTGCATGCCCCCATAGCCCCCCACCCCCACAGCCTGACTCACTGCCCGACCGGGGTTTCCACTTGGCACCATTGACAATGCCCATGCCGTTGGTGTAGTCCTGAGCTTGGCATCCTCCCCGGTAGGGCTCAGTCATGGTGAGGTGGGCAGAGGCGAATGAAATGGCCAGCCAGCGGAAGATGGCGTGGTCCGGGGTCTCCTGGGCCTCGGACACCTCATCCTCATCCTCCCCGCGGGCAGCTGCCATGGCTGCCGCCAGCAGCTGCTCCTGGCTGGGCGTGTGGGCCATGTCGTAGGGGTAGGACACAAGCCGCTCGCCACCGTTCAGGTTAGCTCCCAGCACAAAAGGGTTCTTCTCCATCCAGGCGATGATGGCGCGGACCTCTGTGGACACCTGGGAGTGGCCACCAGGAGCCCAGGGCTCCCATTAGCACCATGCCACACCCCCCAACAGCCTGTCCATATCCCTCCAACTCCCCCAGCACCTCTGCATGCCTGCAGCTCAGCCACCAGCCAGGGATGCCAGGGCTTGCTCCTCACCGTGGCATCTGGGGATAAGTAACGCTCCGGGATGGGCAGGTTATTGTTGGGGACCCGGTAGGGAACCCATTTCCTCTCCTCAGCTCCCCAGAGCACAGAGTTGAGATCCGGAAAGTCCTCAAAGATGTCAAAGCCTTCCTCGGTCCACAGCCCCAGTGCCCAGTTCCCGAACTCAGAGCCCTGTGGGCAGTTACATCACTGGCCTTGGTCACCAGCTCCCCCTCCACACTCCCCCAGCCACCACCCAGGCCCCCGCACACCCACCATCTGTGCTGCCACCTCATAGCCATCAGGATTTAGTGAGGGCACCAGGTGGATGCGCGTGTCTTGCACCAGGCTGCGAACACGTGGGTTCCCGTCTCTGTATTCGTGGCACAGGTACTGCATGAGCAGCAGCAGGAGCTCGCGGCCTAGCACCTCGTTGCCATGGATCCCCGCTGTGTAGCGGAACTCAGGCTCCCCTGCAAGGGCAGGAGCACAACAAGCACTCAGCTTTATGAGGGCCAGGGCATCAGCGGAAAAGTGGGGACCCACCTCATACTCCAGGCTGGGGAAGCTCAGGCTCAGTGTCTGGGCAGCCAGCCCCACCCTGCAGAGCGCTGCCCAGGGCTCACCCAGCTCATGCTCCCCAGGGTTGTCCGAGATCTCCATGGCGTAGATCTTGAGCCCTCGAGAGCTCTTGCCCAGGCTGTAGGTGCGGGTGACGGTGGGACACTCCTCATTCACCAGCTTCATCAGCTGGCAGGGACAGGGGATCGCGTCACTGACCCTGCCTCTCCTATGGCCTGTCTGCTTGGTGGGGAGGGACAGCTGACCCCATGCCCTCCCAGGCGGCCTCCAGTCCGGGCCTCCTTCCCCTGACGGGGGCTGTGCCCTGGGACAACAGGACAAACCAGGTTCAAGCTCTCTGGCCTCCCTGTATAGGGCTCACCCGGCCAGGACACAGCCCCTAACCTGGCGCATGTCCTTGTAGCTGTGGTGCCGGAAGTCCAGGTCATCGGTGGCTACCACCTCGTTCTGTGCATAATAGCTGTAGATGGCTGCAGAAGGGCGGGCAGGACCCTGAGCCGGCCATCTGCAGCCCCCCATATCCCCAGCCACCCCGCTGGCCCTTGGCACTCACGGCTCACGGGGCAGCCCAGCACCTCCAGGCGCATGCACAGGCTGCCGTTCCAGGTGAGGGGGTAGATGCGGATGAAGCGGGCCACCACGGGCTCTGGGAGCTCGCTCAGCACTGGTGTGTCCTTGTCCACGTTCCCGTGGAAGGTCTGGAGGATGGAGACAGGCCTCAGCGCTGCACCCCACACCGAGAGCCCACCCAGGACTGGGTAATGGGCACAGAGTGGAGCCTCGGCACCCACCATTTCCTCGTAGCCGTTGGTGTACATCATCCACGTCTGGCTGTCATTGCTGAAGCCCACGAAGAAGGTGGTCACGAAGTCATCACTGGTGGAACAGGTCTGGTCAGGGCAGGGCTGTGTGCCTACCCAGGCCCTCAGCAGCCTGATGCCCCCTGCCGGCTGTGAGGTGTGGCGCTCACACCAGGAGCCAGGCCCTGTGCTGCCTGTGGCCGTGGGCAGTGGCTTGTGTGCCCCTCTGTGGGGCTGACTGATGGGCCCAGGGGGAGCGGTGGGGGGTCAGCCCCCATGGGTCCTTCAGGCCTCCCTAGGTGTCCCAAGTGCAACTCAGAGCCACTGTCAGCAGCCCAGGAGCCCAGCCACCTACTGGATGCTGGAGTCCCGGCCCTGGGTGATGATGCCTGTGAAGCGGGTGGTCCTTCTGGTGTCCACCTCAATCCACTGGGTGTGCGGGTCGTCTTCGGCACACCATGCACCATCATAGTAGTCGTCCTCATTGGTGCCAGCCTGTCCGGGCGGTGGGAAGGCTGAGCACAGCACGGCGGCCCTCGCTCACAGGGGACACACAGACTGCTCACCCACCTGCATGTTGAGCCGGCCACGCTGGGCCCCCAGCCCGTGGCGCAGCATGGAGGAGGCTCGGATCTGGTTGTCCTCGATGCGATGTGACTCCATCCCGATGGGTGGGCACTCTGAAGACACACACCCGGGCCTCCCAGCATCAACTGACCCCAAGCTGAGGGCCCCGAACCCTGCACCTCCACTAGGGCACCTGGCAGAAGGCAGCTGCCTGCCAGGGGCTGAGACCTCAGACCAGGCCAGGAGCCTGCTTCCTCTCCCGCCGAGGCAGGCAGGTCTCAGGCCAGAGCACAGGCCGCAGCCCGTCCTACACTCCACTGGCTGCCCCGCCAGGCCCCACGCCCGCCCCAGCCCACTCACTGATTTTCTGCACAGGGGCCCACTCCTCCTCCAGGTCCTCGCCCTTCTGGGGTCCTGTGGACCAAGAAGGGGGCAGGTGGGCCACAGGCCAGGCAGCAGGAATGCAAATGTCCCCAGAGGATGACACCCACCTTTGTGGTCCTTGCCCTTCTCCACAGCCCATTTGTCCTCTGTCTCCTCCTTGGGGCTGTTGCCCTCCTTCTTGGGTTTCTCTGGAGGGAGTAAGGCAAGAGAGGCCTGTCAGCCTGGCCTGAGCTTGGGGTGCAGTGGGGTGAGCTGGGGTCACTGGGCTGAGAGCAAAGCTGGCCTCAGGTGATGGCCTGATGGGGGCAATGCCTGGTCCCACTCACTCAGCTCCTCCTTCTCTTCATCCGTGTCCTGCCCAGCGTCAGGCTTCGGGAATGGAGGCAGTGGGAAGTAGTAGTCCACTGCGAGGAACAGCCCAGCTGAGGCCCTGTCCCTGCCCTGCCTTGGCTGTGGGGTTCACAGGAGCCCACAGGGCAGGACTGGGGCCCTGTGTGGTGACAGGGCTAAGGCTGAGGCGGAGGGACATGCCTGGCAAAGTCAGGGGCCAGGAAGGTAGGCAGGGAAGGCCCCACACCCTGGCCCCACACCCTGACCGCACCCCTGCCCCAGATGTCCAC